GAGTCCTTAATTCTAAGGGTATTTCCACATCGTGGAGGGAGGGACAGTGTTCCAAGACAGAACCAGAGCTTCCAAGGGGGAGCGTGGAGCAGGGCTCAGGCTTGGGAACAATTGTGCTATTTGCTTAAATTAAAAAATTCACTGGCATAGTTTTTAATAAAATTAGTTTGCATGTGGATTATACTCATAAGACCCCTGGTGTCAAGATCTCAAACACCATCTTTATTCTAGAAAGTACCCTTACATTCTTAAGCCAAAGTCTCCTCTAGAGACCACCACTATTTTAACATCTATCACTGCAGATTAGTTTTGCTTGTTTTGTGTGCTGCTGGAAAATAAATGGAATCATGTTGTGTGACTCCTCTTTTAATGTATTGGAATGTTTTATTCAACTTAATGGTTTTGCAGTTGGCTCATGCTGATGCGGACATTTGTAATTCGTTCTTTTTTACTGCCGACCACCGCTCCCTGGATAACCAAACAGCTAATAAGCATATAAGAAGTCCTTGATATTAGTAGTCACCAGAGAAATACAGGCGAAATCAATGCTGATGTCCAAATGACTCAGCTCGAAGGCATAGTACAATGCCAGTGTTGACTAGGAAGAAGATCCTGGGGTGGGAGAAGGTGGAGTCACCTCCCTGCAAGATGATCTGGCAGCTTCTGAGATTAGTAAACCTCATAGCCCCACGATCCTATTCCATTCAGACACCACTGTAGAAAAATGTTCATAGTGACTGGGTGTATAATGGGACCAAACCAGAAACAACCCAAATATCTATAGACAGAAGAGTGGCTATATAAAAGGAAAGAACCCTGGGCACTGCAAGTGTCTAACACAGCGGCTATCACATTTTGTTCCAAAGTGTCCAGTTGCATAAGCAGGAAGTCCTGAGTAGAAGACAAAGTGACTAATTTATGATCCCTCCTGAAGAGACTGAGGCTAAGAGCTTGTGCCACACAGTCAGAAAGTTCCATACTTGAATCCCAGGTCTTATCTGCTGTGTGTTCTCGAACAAACCCAGGTCTCCCACTGTAAAGGAGATTTGCATGGGGCAAACACTAAAAGTGCCCGTTGACAAGCATCTGGAGACCCGGGGAGCACAGGATGGGTGAGAAGGGTGCAGGGTAAGATCCCGCTTTTAAGACATTTCAAATTGATGTCCTCTGTCATTAGCGTTATTGTGAATGCTCTAAGTGTAGGAAGAGCAGAAAGAAAGTCCCAAGCAAGTATAAAACAGGTCATCCAAGATGTGCTTTGGGAATAAGGAGGAAGATGCTAGCTTAAGGGAGAACATTCTCGTCAGATTTCTATAGACTTATAGAGCTATTATCATGACCAAATCATTAGTAAGAGGCAACATAATGTACTGAAAAACATCAAGTTCGAAACTCCAGAGCCTCGGGTTTGAATCCATTGAGGATAAGAGAGAATTTTAGATAAGAAATGGAATCCTTCTAAGTCTGAAAATCGCTGTTTGTGTGTGATGACAGATCTCTCAAATGGTTGTTGTGGGTAACAAAGCCCTTAGCAAAAGGTGAGCACAATACCAGCTCTCCCAGGCATGGATAATCACACCGCCTGAGAAGTTGTGTCTAATTGTGTTTCTCTCAGGAAGAAGCTGGCATGCGTCTTTCCAGACAGAGAGCACAGTGACCTCCAGCAATGGCTCTTAAATAGCTATTGGTCACTTTAAGACTCTAGGAGTCCCTGTAGCCAGGAAATAAGCATGTGTGGAAAACTGAAAAATTCTACTTCTAAATGGCCTCAAATAATACGTGAGGCTGCTGCTTCCGAATCCTGTGTGAAGAACTTGGCACCATGTGAACAAAAAGGTCAGCCAACTCCCAACAGGAAGGCCTCGTACTCACCAATAATCTGCTATTTCATTTTTGCTGATAGCATGAAGAAAGAGAACCCAATTGTGAGAGCAAACCGAGTTTTAAGAAAAAAAAATCACTTTCCTCTGTGATGGCATTTTTTTCTCATTCCTTTTACAAAAGTCCAAGCCCCAGGAATATCTTCACCTAGCCAGCCTGCAGCTGGACTGCAAGAATTCCACCACTGCCGCCTCCATATAAATGGTGCTGTGTGCCTGTCGCAAACCCACACAGAGTCACAGAGTCATCTGCCAAGCCCCCAACTGGACATCTATTCAGTACACGCAATACACTGCCTTCACATTGCCCCAAGGCCGGGTTGACCAGGGGATGATATACACATAAAATTAATATAATATATGTATTTACCAAGATGGCTTAAAATGTTATGAAACTGTGATGCGGGAAAAATAGCCTTCTACCACATTTCTTTAGAAACTTGTGCATTTTTTAAAGAAAGCTCCTTGGGGCTGGAGAGATGGCTCCGTGGTTAAGAGCATTGCCTGCTCTTCCAAAGGTCCTGAGTTCAATTCCTGGCAACCACATGGTGGCTCACAACCATCTGTAATGAGATCTGGTACCCTCTTCTGGCCTGCAGGCATACACGCAGACAGAATATTGTATACATAATAAATAAATATTTTTTTTAAAAAAAAAAAGAAAGTCAGCTCCTTGTCATCATTTCACACCTGATAAACCCACGGATATGCCTCAGATTCTTGCCACTTTCCTTTCATTGCCATCACCTTCTGTATCCCACTATTTATTGCCTCTTCTCACCTCTCTGCCTCCCATCTCCTTGCATAACTAGGCCCCAGGTAAACCACCTCTGCAGGGTCCCCTGCAAGCTTCCTTTGCTACTCCCTGCCAGGTGGGCTTAGACAATGGGAGGCCCGGGTTCAGGTCATTCCAGCCCCTCCCTGCTTCACTTCCATGACCGAGGTGGCCACCTCCATCCAACAGCAGTCTGTCATGTGGTCTCTGCTCCAAGCACACAGCTCTCCCCCAGGCTCCACAATACTGACCCCCACCAGGACAGAGAGTGGCAGCAGCTTCCTGTGCCTCCTGGGTGTCCCAGGTTCTTTCCCTTCCTGTGCAGCATCCTTTGATGAACAACTCTGGCACCATCTCAGTCAGAGCCTGCATCTTGCCAGGGTGCTAATGATAAAATCATCCCCCACATCACCCTCTTGGGAAGTATTATTTATGGATTTCCCTTCCTGTATCAGACAGTGTTAAGTGCTTCCCCTACAAGAAGCCGCCCAGCTTCAACAATAGTGCCATAAGGAATGTGCTGTTTTACAGATGAGGAGTCAGACTTTACAGTTTTGAATGTCTTAGCTCAGAAAACACAGGCTGTAAGTGGCAGAATTGGGGCAAGAAGTCAGCTCCTTCCATCATAAATATTACTCTGAACATTATGAGCAGCTCTCGATGGTGCATATCAGAAGGGCTTGAGCTGTTCCTTCAAGATCCAGATCCCAAAATCCTACCCAAGGTGCCTTGCCAAGAAAAGACACTCTAAGCATGTCTAGCTTTTAGGTTTTTGAATCAGGGTCCTACTATGCAGCCCAAGCTAGGTGGAAAATAAAATTATGTCCCTCGGGAAATCCCACATCTCTAGCCTCTGCAATTAAAGTGCTGACTCCACAGGCACCATGATGACAGGGCCTAACTCTGAGGCTTTAACCTGAGCAGTGTAATTGGCTCGGTGTCAGTCCAGGCTCGCAGGAGCAGTGTGAAGGAACTGGCCACCTACAGGTCGGGTTGGCGGTGAAACAGCCCAGCGTGGGCAATTGTAATCAGTGCAGCTAAGCAAATTCTCCCTTCTGCTTCCCAGATCGCACGAAAACTGTTAAGGATGTTAGTGAAAAGCTAGCAAGAGAAGAGGAAAGGGGAGCCCATGGAAAGAAGCAGGCGTGGGGGCTTCATTAAGTACTTCCCATGTAAAGAGGAGGAACTGAGTTTGACTCTCTGCCTCCAGAGTTAAAGAGTTGGGCACAGATGTATGTGCCTATAATCCCAGAGCTTTGGTCAGGCGGCTTATGAGTCCCAGGCTCACTGAGAGACCCTGCTTCAAAAAATAAAGTGTAGAACGGACAGCAATCAAGAAAGACCCTCAAAGTTGACCCCTGGCTCTCTCTCTCTCTCTCTCTCTCTCTCTCTCTCTCTCTCTCTCTCACACACACACACACACACACACACACACACACACACACTTTTAAAAAAGAAGCAGGCGATAGAAGTGTGGCATGTGATACAAAGACACAGCAGTGGGAAACCAGCGTCTTAAGGCCCAAGAGCGTCCCGGATGAGTACTCTTATAGTTTCTCTTATTGTTTCTTCCCATCGCCTCATTAGTGACTTCTAGCAATTGCTGAATATGTAATTAGACTCAGTCTGAATTAGGCTCATGCAATTGCACTGGTGCATCCCCAGGCCCTCATAGAAAGAGCGCTAAAACTACCAGGAACCAAACAGTCTTTCTTGCCTTCTCTCACTTCTCTCTAAGGCTGTGCTCACTGAAACTGGGGTGATCTTTCCAGAATGTGAACCTAGCTTCACTCAACTTATGATGGAGCACCCCTTATTTTGACTTGGGTACAGCATTCTCCACTGAGGTCTGCAGGTCTCTGCACAGCCTAGCCAACATTCTTCTCTACAGCTTCCATGCAAACTGACTTACGCGCCCCTCTGTTCTGGGGACCACACAGGCGATGTCACCGTGTCGCCTCCAAAGAAGACCACTTGTTTTGCACCTAGATAATGTCTACCCATCCTCAAGTGTCACTTGCAAAAGGATGTTCTGCCTGAGGAGTTGACTGACCTCTTGGCACCCACCTTTCTTAGGACAGCTTCTTACAACTATCACACTTTGCACACTTTCCTGATTGATCTTAGTCATTCTGGTAAACACACAGAGATGAGGGTTGTGCCCCCAGAACTCTGCATAGAACCTGACCCACTGCGGACACTCAAATCACTCAAATGTTGACTAAGCGTATGAATGATTTAATGTCTATGTACGGTAACAGTGGGGCAAAGTTTTTCAAGTGTCATTGTGCGGTTGCCATGGAATGAATGACAACAGCAACAGCGAGCAGGTGATTGTTGCTTAGGAAGGCCGAGGCATAACAAGGGAAGCAGGAATAAGGGAGGCTGCATGCACAGCACTCAGGACCACACAATCCACTTGCAGGAGAGTCCAGGCTTCCTGAAGCCCCAGCATCCACTCTAACACCCAACAACATGCCTAAAAGGTCAGTGGCGCTTGGATATCCTTTACTGAGTTTCAGTGACCTTATAGATATATTTAGAACCTATTCATATCCGTAGTTAGGGAACCACAATACTAAAAAAAAAATTGCTATCACCACCCAAATCCAGATTGAAATTAAAATGGAGAAACCAAAGAGAACTAACTTGAAGCTTTGCCAGTGAACTGAAAAGATGACATTAACACAAAGATCTTTAATTGCCTTTCGAGAAATATTTGCAGGTTAAACTTGGTGCCGATTTCTACTGTACAGCACAGTCTTCTACAGTGCTGATGATGGGGGAATGTGCTCACAGCATTCAGATGTGCAGACTGGGTCCAGCAAGTGAAAAATGTTCTTTTCCATGGAGTTCCATTTACGATACCAACTTTACTTCCAAAGCAGTTTGGGAGCGCTTAACAAGGGCACAGCACTCTGCCAGACGAGAGGTGGGAGGTGTGGGGATAAACTACAGAGCTCTGGCTGTCAGGGTCTTTACGTACTAACGGAGGAGACAGAAAATCAATCAGAGTGATAAAAACTAACACGTGCCATGTGGCAAGTGCACATTTTGGAACGTGAAAAGGTGGCACCTCTTCCGTCCTGCAGAAGCATCATCAAGGTGCAGAGGTTTGGGGAATCAGAAGTAATTCACAAAGAAGAGCCTTGGGGTCCTAACATCCTAGAGGCAGGCAGTTAGCTCCTGAACGAGGAAAGTAAAGCCTTCCCACAATAATAAATAATAATAATAAATAGTAATAATAATAATAATGCTTCTATTAGTTAATGCCAAACCCAGATTTGAAACCCCAAACTTCCTTCTAAGGAGGTGCCAACACTGCTCTGCTCTTGACCATATTCTATAGTTCTTTTGTGCTTCCCAGCCATTTGGGGGTGGGAGTGGGAAATCATTCAATTTTTGATTTACTGTTTATAAAGTAGTTCTCCTCTTCTTGCCTCACATGAATCTACAGCCCACCTACTTCAGATTAGCCTAAATGCTTATCTGCTACATAAAGCCCACCCTCTTTGCTTTCTAAGGCTCGAAGTCTCAGTGTTCTCTGGTCCCAATCCTCGACTTCGGCCTTACACTCCTCACTGTCTCCTGTCTCTAGTTTCCAACTATGTGCTATGTCTGAGTTCTTCTATCCAGTCTTGATCTCCCTTACTTCAGGGCCTCAATACAGTGCTCTCGTCACCAGAAACCTTTCTCCTGCTCTTTTACTGATTTCGGCTGCTCAGCCCATTACCCTGCCCATAGACAAGGTTAGCCCTTCTCTTCTCTTTATATGTATTTCTGTTGTTCTGCACTGCATTGCCTGTTTGATATCTGTACTGTGTACTAGACACAACGCTACAAGAGACCTTGTCTCCGCCACCAACCAATGCATCTCATTTCTGGGTTAGGCAGGCAGCCTAGATAGCTCGAGCCAGGGTACATAACGACTTAGCATTCTATAACTGTTCTATAAGCAAGAATTTGTTTTTTTTCCCCTTTTCATCTAAGTGGAGTTCCAGGTTTGTGACAGCTTCACTTTCTCATAGCCACGTAGGAACACGGAATGAGGGAAGCTCCACCATCTACAATGGCTTCCCAGTGCTAGGAAGTTTTGTGACCTTCCATCTTCCCAAGGCACAGAGAAGCTCGCAGTAAAGTCTTCTCCTTTGTCCCTTTCCCAGTTGAAGGAACTTGCGTCACGGGGCTGTATAAGAACCAGGACTGTGTGGCTATATGGGCTGCAGTCAGTCACAGTCATACACTATTTTACTGTGTGGCAAGTACTTAAGTAGACACACGACAAATACCTCTCTTGGGATATTGGGGTCCTTTGGGTACCAGCCCCTTAGACCGCTTCAGGGTCTGGATAAGATGCTATGCTGCCTAGGGAACTAACTGAAAAAGATCTGAGGGTGGAATGAACTCTCCACCACGTGCTTTTCTGCATCCATTTCTTTAGCATTGCACTCTGCTGCAAGGGTTTCCAGCTTATGGACACACACCATCCTCAGTTCTCCAGCTCTGGCCGCGTACAAGCCTAGAGTTGTTCAGGGTCAGAGACACAGATAAAAGTTTACACAAAGCAGTAGCTGTCAGCCTTTCTTTGTGGCTCAAAGTGAGAGTGGTAAAGACTCCAAGAACTTCTTAAAGGGAATGGGGGCGGGGGGAAGAGAGAGAGAGAGAGAGAGAGAGAGAGAGAGAGAGAGAGAGAGAGAGAGAGAGAGGAAATCATTAGGGAAATCTAGGAAGAGATTACATATTCTCAAATGTGACTAGGTAAATAAGCTGAAAGTTATAATCAGCAAAAAAATAATCAGGAGCAAGGCAAGAATCATCTTTTCCTCAGCCTGCTGCTTTTCCCCAGTATGTGGAGATTGTGTCGGGTAACTAGGCAACGTATGTAAACAAAAAGGGGGAGCCTGTGACCTCTGGTTCCTGTTAGCACTTTCGCTAAAGGCTAACTGGCTAAAGGGAACCTTTTGACTTCTAAGGATTACACCCGATGATGGTGTCTCTCAGGGTAAAATACAAGCTGTAAATTTCTTGTTTTAGAAGACTGAGATAAAAATAAGTGCAACGAGTTAAGGATTTGTTTTAAGGTTAATGTGAGATTAGCTTGGGCAGCACTTCATGTTGGCTGGGAGAGCTAATCTAGGACAAACTTGTTCTCTATCTCTCTCAAAGCCACGGCTCAACAACTTCAGACACGCCGTAATTCTAGTCCTTGGGCATCTGTGAATGTCTCAATTGAGGTCTCTTTGCCTAAACACTAACACTATCTACCAAAGGAGATTATTACAAGGAAGCAGACTTCTAAGTTTATACAAGGAGCTGGGTGAGAGAGTAAGGACATTGACTGTGATTTCTTTCTTGCCAGAATCACGCATTGCTGACGGAAGTCATCCAATACACCAATGCATAGGGGAAATTGTGCCCAGTAAACATAAGTACGCTGTAGTGCTGTGGAAAGAATCCCCAAGCTGTAATATGAGGGAAAGAGCTCTTCACACGAGAAATCTGCCATGAGGACAGCTAACACAGTCAGAAGGCGATAGACCTCACTGCCTTTCTAAATAAAGTCTATCCCCATGAGACATGCATGATAGGTTGACCTCTGAAGTACTTGCTGATCTCTTATAGCATAATTCTGCAGTCCACAGCATTAGGGTTTCTATTATTATTCGAAACAACTCTTATAAAGGAAAAACATTTAATTGTGGTGGCTTACAGTTCAGAGATTTAGTCCATTATCATTAAGGCAGACATGGTGCTAGAGAAGAAGCTGAGCATCCCACATCTTGATCCCACAGGCAACAGGAAGTGAACTGAACTAGGCATAGCTTGACCCTAAGAGACCTCAAAGCCCACCCCCACCGTGGTATAAATCCTCTAGCAGGGCCATACCTCCACATAGTGCCACTCTTTATGAGTCCATGGGGGCTAATTACATTCGAACACCACAATACCCCAATAGAATACTGCCAATAGAAGAGACAGAGGACATCTATTTAAAACAATCATTTTAAATCATGTGTCGTTTTATTCAAAGATCAGTGTTCAAACTCTAAAAACTCACTATTCCCTTTATTTTATTTGCAGTGTTTCAATATCTAAACAACTGGCTTCAATAAAAGGTAAGGCATGGAATGATTGAAGTGTGTGTGTGTGTGTGTGTGTGTGTGTGTGTGTGTGTGTGTCCTGCTACATAACAGCAGGTCAAGAGTTACAATTAACAGGATCAAGAATGCCTGAGATGTGAGAAATTTCTGGATAAACCATGAAATGTCCGTGAAACTCTTTCTCTCTCTTTGTCATTTGAACTTAAACACTTTGAGTGTTTAGGGGGCAGCAATGTAGGGTAAGAACATATGTGTACTTAATACCAAGGTAATAAAGTATTAGGGAAATTGTTGACCTGGGGAATAAGGAATAGGGTCTTACTGACTATCAGTAATGCTTACACCATCCATATGGGCTTGGGCAAATGTGTGCACTACAAGCTTCCATCTTTTCTCTTGCAAAAGCAACTTATATGAGGAGAAATTCTAGAACGAGGTGATTCTTAGCCTTCCGGGTGTTGAGAGTGGTGTTTCTATGCTACTAACTTTTGGGAAAATCACCAAACCCAACGATTAATGTTTAGTACCCTGTGGTTTAGGGGAAAGCAGGAGACAAATGTGGAAAATGACTGAACTTGTCAGTTCAGTTTAACACACATACTGCATGTGTTCTGAGACCCACAACAGGACCTGACCTCCGCAAACACACAGCCTGGACCGGCTCTATCCCACATGGTAGGTACCAGCCCTAGAGAGCAGTGATGAATTTGAATAGAGATTTTAAAACTGAAAGAAACTGATAAATAGGAGTTATAAAATCTCTTATGAACTTAGTATTAACTACCTGTTGAAATTTTTAATATATTGAGCTGAGTAATATATATTATTAAAATCAATTTCACTCTTTTCTTTTCAGTCTTTTTAATTTGTCTCTGGAAAAGTTGTAAATTAAGACTGTGGTTTGTAGTGTATCTATCTCTGTGGGCAGCAGGGATCTAAAATGCAACTGAGCTGATACAGAGTTTCAAGTGTGACAGTTATTAAGATTTCATGGTCAGGGAATTAGAGAAGTGAAACAGAGGGACCTGTTGCCACTTCTGAGGGTTTAGGAAAGAGTCCTGAAGAATAGGTACAGCTGCCTGAAAAGCGATACTTGGAGGCCGTGGGCATTCGAGAAAAGAGCCAGTTTGGCTTTCTGACTTTCGGTAAGTTACTTAATCTTCTCATGCCTCAATTTCCTCATCTGTAATCTGGGCCTACCTCAAAGGATGGACACAAGCGCTAAGTGAGCTGCATCACATCCATTCCCGGGGAGGAGCATCCAATGCTGTGACCTCCAAGACATCAACGTTGCTCTGACGTCATTCGCTGTTCCAGGCCCAGCACAGATGCTGGGTGTTACGTACTTGTGAGATACAGAGAGTAAGAATGAATGGCTCGTGGTTCAAAATTTATTCCAATGGGCTATGAAAAAGAAGAGGGTAACACGGAGCAGTCTGGAAGAGCTACCTTTCAGACATCCGTATCCCCGAATCCCAAAGACAAGAGGGCCAATGAAAGATGCCAAAACAGCAACCTTTGCTTTTCTAACCCCGCATACGCCCTTTCAATATGATTCACATATTAAATCACAAACAGACAGCGAAAAAGTTAGGTGGCAACCTGCTGTTTTATTAAGGAAGAAGCAAACTGTAAAGACAAGACATGAAAAAGCCTCAGAAAAATATTATCAGTGTCTTTAGGACAAACAACTCTTTGCTATCTCCTATTTTAAATATTTCTAGTTCTGTTTTTTTGCCATGAACATATGCTAGCTTACTGTTGGAAAAAAGATGCAGGCAGGCCGTCTTTCAAGAGAGGTAGGATCAGAACGAGAAGTCGGATAGTCCAGATGGAGTGCCATTCAAAGAACAGCCAGACTTGAACTCCACCAGAGCTGGGAAATGCCTCGCTCGCACAACCAGCATGGATAACCTTGTACAACATATTCCAAAGAAGCTGATATTTCTGTCAGCTTTCAGACAAATCCTTAAGCCTTTCACACCTCATTTCTTTGTGATTTTTATGATTCTTAATCTCCCCAAGTGTCGGTCTCTGATGTGTAAAACTAAGGCACAAATATTACCCGCCCTGTGAGTTTGAGGAAGCATTAAATAAGATGATATTTGAAAGGCACCTGGAACAGACGTAGTAACAAAGGAAGGTGCCTGATGTTATTAACAGACTCACTCAGAGCCTGAGAATTACCCCTTCCCCATCAGACTGGCATAGCCAGTATATAGACCACTACCTCCTGTCCTCCAAGAACAGCCTCAGAGTCAGCAAAGCTCTTTCTACACCGTAGCCATCTAGTCTTGACTACTGATGAATAAATCTATCAGTCCAAATTATTCATGTATTTTTTTCTAAAGAATTAATGCATTTTATCCAGGCAACTACCTCTTTCAAACAAGACTGTGTTTACATAGATTTCATTCTTAAGCCTATTAAATAATGTGAGGTTAACATTATTAAAATCGGGGCAAGCCAAGAGAAAGTACCACTGCATGTATGCACATGGGCTGTATGATCTTTTGTTTGTATTCTGACAAAGAAAGCTTGCCTGGAGATCAGAAGGTGGTGCTAGCCACTAGAGAAAGGTAAAAGTCAGGCAGTGGTGGCACACACCTTTAATCCCAGCTTTGGGGAAAAGGAAGCAGAAAGATCAGGAGTTCAAGGCCACGAGATTGAACCAGTCTAAAAGAAAAACAGAGGTTGGTGGTGATGGCTCACACCTTTAATCCCAGAACATGGGAGGCTCACGTCTTTAATCCCAGCACCAGGTAGATGGAGATAGGAATAAAAGGCAGGTAGAGATAGGATCACCCCCATTCAGTCTGAGGAGACAGGAGGCCCCATTTGGTTTGAGATTTCATGGTGACTGGCCGCTCAGCTTTTCTGATATTTCAACTTTCATCCTTGATATCTGCCTCCGGGTTATTATTGTTAAGATTAATTCAGATTGCGCTTCACACATGGGCATGCACAAACATATGGGCAGACAGATCAGGAGTTATAAGAAATATGCCCGTCCCCCAGTATTTAATGAGCAGTACATGTTAGACACTTGAGGAGATAGAAACATGGGTTCCTGGGAGTGGCAGGGTTTGGGGGAAGAGATGGTTAGGGAAGGGGTAAGAAAGAGCAAAGAATAGAGGGGCATCTTCCGAGACTGTCGTCCTAGGAAAGATGGCGTGTCGGATCTGGATAAGCAGAAGCTACAAACAGAAAGCGCAACTCACAAGAGCACAAAATTGATAACCTGTAGCCAAATGGGAGTCCAAGGAGGAAAAAGTTAAAATAAGTTTTACAGCCATTCACTCAAAAAAAATTTTTTTTACAAGCCCCCTGCTTTGTGTTTGGTGCCCTCGAAAGTGTTACAGATTCAATGGGAAGCAAAACACACACGCAGTTCCCTGAGTACCTTGGTAGCTCCTGTGTTTGGTGTTTCCAATCCCAGCTCCCCTGTTTAATAGTAGCCTGCAGTGAGCAAGGTCCTAGCTGTTCTTCACCGATGAAATGATAGAGTCAGGGAGAAGCCTAGCATTCGTGGATTTGAAGTCATCACAGATTGGCAAGGGTTGCCAAAAAGTAAAGACAGCGGTTTGCTTCCCACGGGTCTTTAGTGCAATCTGTATTAAAATTCCAGCAAGGTTTCTGAAGACAGGCAAGGTTATTCTAAACCTTATCTGGAAAGAAAAGGTCCCAGAATAAGCAAATAATGGCCTAGAACAACCAAAGCAGTGTTGACAAAGGGTGAAGCAACAAGAGTCACTTTCCGATGGTGAGACGCTGTGGTTACAGAGACTGGGCAGTTTCTCCACGTCTCCTAGTCCCGGCCGCCGATTTGTAGGATTATTTCCTGTGCTGCTGTGCTGAATTCCAGAAAGTTCTCAGGTGGCAACAGAGGTCCACACCTTTAATCCCAGCACCAGAGAGGCAAAAGCAGTTGGATCTCTGAGTTCAAAGCCAGTTTGGTGTACAGAATGAACTCCAGAACAGTCAGGGCTGCACAGAGAACTTCTCTTTATAAAAATAGCCCTCATGTATACTTGAAGCCTTGTGCCTGTTTTTCTCTAAGTTTGGGTCTTACATTAAGGTCTTTGATGTCTCTGATTTTTTTCTCTGCCCTGTGGGTTTTCCCTTCTTTTCTTTTTATATGAATGGGCTTTATTTTTTTCCTGCATGTGTCTGTATATCATGTGTATGTCTGATGCCCGTGGAGGCCAGAAAAGAGTGTTAGATGCCCTGGTCCTGAATTTATAGGCAGTTGCAAGCATCCTTAGTCTTGGGGATACAAGTAAGAGGCAGACTGAGATATTACTAACACCGCCCAGAAGTAGGTACCATGAAAACAACAACAAAGCCAAACACCGGAAAGATAGAAAAAAAGCCAGACTTTTTATGCATTATTAAATACATAAAAGCCAATACATAGGTATAGACATGTGTATTCTCATGATTATTATTTATTTGTCTACTAAATCATAAGATGCCTATGAACAGAGATCATATCTACTCTTGCCACCTCAGTGTGCTGACCCTTCCTCTAACTGAGCATTCTTTGAATCCCTGTTGGTTGCATATTGTCTGAGCTGAACACTGTGAAATTTCCTTCCTCTTTGTCTTACTCATCCACTCAACAGCATTGGCCAGCCCTACTATGCAGCAGACATTGCTGGTGATATTGTGAACATAGGGATAAAAACAAAGGTGTGGCTTTTGTCTTCATGAAGAGCGTTGTGTCATTAGAGAGAAAGGTAAATAGGCCGTAGCTGTAAGGTCGATTGTTTTATCCTTGTAGATGTATTGGTGACTAAGGGAGCTTAGCACACAGAGCTGTTCAAACGGTTCCCGTTGCCTCTCTCTGTGTGCATCGGGCACTGCCCCTGGGAAGGAAGGAATTAGCACTGCCCTCTCCACAAGACACAACCCTGTGTCTGCACAGAGCATCTTATTCCTTTGCTGAGCCTCCACTCTTCATTTCTTCTTGCACAGCTTTGAAGAAAGGCTCAGACCTAGAGAAGGCCATGGCTACCCTCGCTCTGATTTTCAAGAACTCTTCTGACCCTGATGGCAAGATTGAAAGAGCCACTGCCAAAAATCTGCTGCAAACCCAATTTCGGAATTTCACAGAGGTAAGAGAATTAGCCAGCACGAATAAACAAAACTCGCACCAAACAGCAAAGAAATCCAGCCCCAGGATGCTGTCATGCTATTTCAATCAATAAACATTTACTGAGCTTCTCCTGTATATAAGCTGTCCGCTGGATTTGATGAACAAGCTAACAGGTAGGCACTGTGGCCCATGGCTGCAGTTCAGCTGAGTACAGGGTATGGTGAAACCGGAAAACACTGGAACCATGTTGGGGTGAGAAACCAAGCATTATTCTGAACATTAAAAAACAGGTGATATTGGAAGTATGAGCAACAGTTAGCTATTATTTTAATTTTCCTGATGGCTTCTACAGTTGGCTAACCTGATGTCATGTGTATATGCTTATACTATGAGCAATACTGACCTATGGAAATGTTATAAGAAATGAAGAAGGCTACATCCAAGCCTAAACCACCAATATTTACTCACAGGTAGAACAAAAAAAAATGTATAAAAGTTGTCTGTAAGTTTCTAGTATGCTCTGAGATATTAAAAGGATAATAACTATTGTATATACGTTGGTTTTAGCATTCAAAATCATATAAGATACCATCAAAGTGTCTCTCAGGAGTGTGACTTTGTGCAAGTGTGCATGCATGGTACAACATGCAAAAGGAACAAAGACTGGAGAGATCTTTAGAGGTGGCTCGGTAAGCAAAACACTTGCTGCACAAGCGTGAGGACCTGAGTTCGAACCCCCAGAATGCAAATAAAGCCAGGAACCATAGCACACATATGTAATCCCAGCACTCCTAGAATGAGATGGGAGGTGGAGACAGAAGAGTCCCAGGAAGCTCTCTGGCCAGTTAGCCTGGTGTACAAGAGACCCTGACTCAGACAAGGTGGACTATATATAAGGGTAAACACCTGCGGTTATCCTCTGACTTCTAAATGCACACTGTCTTCTCAGCCTTCCTAATGTCGCGGCCCTTCAATGCAGTTACTCATCTGGTGGTGACCCCCAACACAAAATTATTTCCATTGCTACTTCATAACTGTAATTTTACTACTATTATTAATTGTAACGTAAATTGCTGTATTTTCCGACGGTCTTAGATGACCCCCATGAAAGGGTCATTTGACCTCAAAAGAGGTTGTGACCCACAGGTTGAGAGCTGCCACTCTAAACCCTCTGTGGAGCTCTCTGATAAACTGTGAGGCACTTTTTTGCTAAGTTTAGGTCTTAAAGAGAAAGCTACCTTTCTCAGAAGCTAAGCACAATGCCCAGTGACCACTTTTCGCCAGAAGATGCAACAGAACCAGCACCGAGGAGCACTCCAAGAAGATACTAAAAGAAGATGGTTAAACCCATGAGGGACCAGTGCCTAGCCAGCTCTCTGGTCCTTCACCATGCAGGACAGAGGGAGAGGACAGGCCTGCATGCTTCAATGACCTTTCGGGAAACTGGCAAGTTCCACGAGGAAAGTCCTTTCTTTGAACTCTGACCCTTTCAGAGTTCTGCTTCCCTTCAGCACGTGGGTCAAGAGCTCCTTCAGTTCGAGCTGAAGATGTGACCTGCAGGGTCAGCCAGCCTAGAGAAACAAGGGTGACTTAGACTTCAAAAGAAATACGTCACCATTTCAAAACTGTCTCAAGCATTCCTGGGATTTTTTGCAGCCGCTTCATGGAGAAGCATTTTGGTTAAACTGAATTTACACACAGCTCTGTATCAGAGCGACTCAAATGACCTCTGTGCGCTTAATGTCAGATTTCCCAGCTGTTGCTCGAAGCATTTGAAACTGAAAATGCTCTCCACTTAAAGGCTGTTCAGATGTTTTGCTACAATCTGTGCATGACAGCTATAAGTGACAGCTATAAGCTTGGATATGATTGACACTCAGACTAAACACTGAATAATCGCACGAAGCAATGTGCTTTCTTCTAGCACATTCTATCCTGTATTTCTGAATAAGCTCACGGTCCAGGGAACACATAAAAGGTACCTCCTGTAGTTAAGAGATTATATACTTAAGATCTGAAAACATAGCAAGTTCTGTGTCTAAAGAAAGGCCAAACAAGTTACTGGTTAAAAGGGTGACTCTAGAATCAGACAGGTAAGACCACAAATCTAGGCTTCACAGCAAAAGCTGTTTGCTCTGAGGCAAGTTACTTACTTCTCTCATGTTCTATCCCCAGCTGGGGAGTAGTAGAAGAACATATACATTATTAAAATCACTATGTGGGCTGTCAGAGACAAGTCATGAAGGATTTTGCACAGTGATTATGAGATGGCGCTGGCCATGCCCATATTAGTAACATCCTTAGTTTTCATTACCATCTCTAAATATAAAGTTTATACACAGGATAATAATCACTTATTCTCTATTCTCAGAGAGAAGAAACCAAGCCGAAGTATCAAGACATTCTTTCTGAGCTTGATGAACACACTGAAAACAAACTGGATTTTGAGGACTTCGTGATCCTGCTCCTGAGCCTCGCCATTGTGTCCGATCTGCTGCAAAATATACTGAGTGCAGAAGTCATGAAATAAACAACTCTAATTATGTGAATGGGCAAAATGATCATGAAAGCAAGTGTCACAAGATGGAAGATGTTCCTGTCTAATCCGGAACGAGTATGGGAGGGTTCACATTGGTTATATTCGTTCAGCGTAGCTCCAAACATTTCAACACTCTTCAGAAATGTTCAAATAATATGATTTGTGACATGAGAAATTGGATACCACTTTTGATGAGCAAGTAGCAACTTAAGAGAATTTTTCTACTGAATGTGGAATCATATTATGAGTGTGATTCCCAATTACATAGTCTTGATCATGTGACGATATTTGTGAGCATTTACTTGATAAAATTGTTTAAAATACCATAACTAATGGCCAGACAACCTCCTCCCTTTCTCGTGTTTGCATAATTGCAGAAGAAGAATTAGCCATGCAATAATAACTTTTGTGTCTGTGTATGCAGGTGTGTGTGCGCGCGCGTGCGCAAGCACTTGTGTGGAGACGAATGTACATGTACATATGGAAACAAGAGGCCATTCTCCAGTGTTGTTCTCCAAGTGATGCTTACCCTAACCATTTTAGCTTCCACTGGCCTGGTGCTCTGCGGGAGGCTATGCTAGCTAATCAGTGATTCACCAGGGAGTCACCTGTCACTACCTCCCCAGTGCTGAGATTTCCCCCTGCTCAGCTTTTGTAGGCGGGCCCTAGGGATCAACCATAGACCCTCATGCTTACATAGAAGCTGCTTCACCAACCAAGCCATCTCCCTAGCTCTGAACACTGTTTGATCAGTTTAAGGCACACTATAGCTATAAGAAAGATAAGGGTTACAGAACGCTAACAGATCTATGTTCAAAGATCAAATCCTTCTTGACCTATAAAAGAAAAAAAAAACATGGTGAGTGTTGCCAGAGTCTGAGTCGGAAGTGAGATTCTCTACAAATAGGCACATGGGAGATCTTAAGTGGAAGACAATGATCCCTATCTTATTTATGATAGTTATATGAATGAATGCATGCATTTGTCAAACTCTTTTCTTGAGGGCCGTTGATTTTTCAAGACAGGGTTTCTCTTTGGAGCCTGTCCTGGAACTCGCTCTTGTAGCCCAGGCTGCCCTTGAACTCACAGAGATCCGCCTGCCTCTGTTTCCAAAGTGCTGGGACTAAAGGCATGCACCACCACCACCTGGCTACATTTGTCAAACTCTTAAAACGTTACACTAAAATGGATAAATTATATTGTATGCAATTATGAATTATGCCTAAATAAACATGGCATTCAGAAACCTACCAAGGATGGTAGGACACACTTACAATCTTAGCAGTTGAGCGCAGAAAGATCAAGAATTCAAGGCAAGTCTTGACCGTAACACATAAGACTATAAGCCGGGCAGTGGTGGTTCATGTCTTTAATCCCAGCACTCAAGACCCAAGGCAGAGGCAGGTGGATATCTGTAAGTTCGAGGACAGCCTGGTCTACAGAGTAAGTGCCATGACAGGCTTCATAGCTATACAGAGAAACCTTGTCTCTAAAAAAAACAAAACAACCTGTCACTAAAAACCAACAAACCAAATAAACAAAGGAGACTACATACACACACACTTCAGCAGCTGTGTAATTTGACTGTTTTTGAATCAACATGTTGTAACACACATTAACATTATGTTCTAAAGAGGTCATACTCCAAGGAGACACACATTATCTATGACTGCCTCCTATATTCTTGCCTTGAAATTACACACATGCATATAAACATACACACACACACACACACACACACAAAATCAGTCATACCTGAATCTCTAAGATGGATTCTCACAAGAGCTTTTATTCATGCCCGAGGAGTGCCGGCCTCCAAGGCATCAGCTCAGTAGGCAGTAGCAGGCATCCAAGTTCCCTCAGAAAGGTCACTGGATAGCAGGCAAAACACAAGCCTTCCTTGACCATATGCCCTCACGCATGCCTTTATCTTTATCTTTAGAGAGGACTAATCATTCATTTCCCAGTCACTTGATGGTTTAGGATTCGCCAAGTGATCAGTCCAGGGTCAGAATCCCAGTCCAGGGAAAGGGGAGAGAGTTCTCATGTTGTGATCACAGCTACATTCCACCGTGCCTGATACCTGACATAATTTACACACTGTGCTCCCAGCGGATTCTTACAGAAAGGCAAAGGGGACAAGTCACAGTATTTGCCCTCCAGAAGTGAGTAGCTAGCAAGTCCCTTAGGGGAGATGTTGCAGTTTTATGCTGGGCATAAACTTGAACATTCTGCAAATGCCTGGAGGAGGGTGTCTCTCTGCTCCCTTATAGGCAGATATGTCTAGGCTTTTGCCAGTGTCTAAGTTAAGGTTTTCATTGCTGTGAAGAGACACCATTATAGTAGGAGGCCACTTGTTCATTTCCCAGCTGCTCAGCCCCGAAAAAATCACACAAAACCCATATTATTTAAATCACTGCTTGGCCCATTAGCTCTAGCTTCTTACTTGCCAACTCTTACATCTTAATTTAACCCATTCTCCCTAATCTGTGCATCACTACAAGATCATGACCTACCAGAAAAGTTTCAGTGGGTCTGTCTCTGATGGCACCATGGCTTCTCCTCAACTCCTCCTTCTTTCTCCCAGCATTCAGTTTAGTTTTCCCCACCTACGTCTATTCCCTGTGCAGGTCCAAGACAGTTTTCTTTATTAACTCAATGGTATTCACAGCATACAGAGGGGAATCTCATATCACATCATGAAGACAATTCTCACAAAGAAAGCACTTAATTGAGGTGGCTTACCTGCAGTTTCAGAGGTTCAGTCCATTATCATCATGATGGGGAGCATGGTGGCATATGGGCAGACAGGGTGTTGGAGATGAGCGTTACATCTTGCAGGCAACTTGCAGGCAACAGGAACCCAATGGACTCACTGGGCAGAATTCTGAACACAGGAAACCTCAAAACCCACCCCCACAGTGGCACACAACCCCAAAAAGCCACACCTCCTAATAGTGCCACTTCCAAAGATTATTGGGACCAATAATATTCAAATTACCACAGCCAGAATCATCTAAAACAAAGTGATACGCTCCTATTCCAGGTAGAAGGTTTGTCAGCTTGGACATCTCCCATTTCCCTAGGCCTCTGGGTTAACAGCTAGGAAAAGTCCCAAGGAAGCTGCTCTACCAACCTGGGTCCTGAGAGGGGCTGAGTGAGAAAAGAATCCCACATAGATGTGTCATTTAGGTGTGAAATAAATCTTCTCAGATGGATAAAAGACTTTTATTATTTTTAAAGTTATTATAACTTCCTGAGCCCTTTTCTCATGTTTCATATTCTCCACAGACCAACACTGCCAAGATCAAACACATATAACATGAAAATCCTTTCAAAAGAGATAGCACCTTTAACACCCATTAGCCCAGTGAAGTACAGCATCTTCCAATGATGGACCAAATCTTTTAGCCCAGCGAGGCATAGCCTCTTTTGGTGATGAACCAAACCCTTGAGTGCAGTGAGTCTCAGCCTCTTCCAGTGATGGACCAAATTCATCAAACCCCTGTCCTTGGCTCTCTCCTTCCCAAACCTCACATTTCATTGTAAGACCTTAGCCTACATAAAGAAAACCTCCAAACTTGCCCCCTCTCTCCAGACTTTAACAGGAGGCAGGTGTATGTTAAACCAGAACATTCAAATTGAATTACCTAACAAAAGAAGAAACTAAAATTCAGTTCTTTGTGTCCAACATTCAAATCCTTCATGCTTTTAAGCTAGAATCAAGATGAGAAAAAAATAGAAATGTTTTCTCTTTAATCAATTTATTTTTACAGATAAAAGGGCTTTTTATCCTCTCTAATTTGTTTTCTACATCTTGGTGCTTCAACCGGAATACAGCTTTAGTTAAAAAGTTCTATGTATTTTTAATTTAATTTCTTATTTTTTGAGATTGCCATACATGAGTACTGTATTTACATAACTTCTACCTCTCCTTCTCTTCCACAGCTCCTTCTGTATCCCCCACTTCTTCTCAAGTTATTGATTTCTTCTCTTTTAATTATTAGTGTTTTACACACACACACACACACACACACACCACATAAAACATTTATGTGTTGAGTCCATTTAGAGTAGCTTGTATATGTGTTTAGGGCTGACCAGTGGGAATTGGAAGCCTATCAGGGGCTAATTCCTGGAGAAAACTGTTTCTCCCTAGCTCAGCAGCCACTGGTTGCCTATATGCCTATTGTACTTGGTCTAGAGGTATAGTCTTGTAAGAGTTCCTTCTGCTCACGTTGGCATGTCAACTCGTGTCACCATTGACAAGTGTTGTTTTGCAGCCATGCTCTTGAGGTTTCACGGATGCAGCTTCTCTGTCACAGGTAGAAGACTATCCCACAACAGACATCCTGGTCCTCTGTCCCTTACACTCTTCCTTTCCCTTCCTCTGCAATGTTCCCTAAGGGTGTAGGGATCGTGTTGCACATGTATCAGTGAAATTGGGGCACCCCACAGTCTGCTGTTCACTGTATTTTAACCAGTGGTGGCTTTCTAAAATAGTCTCCATCTGTTTGAAAAATGCTTTTTTGTTGGGTGGTGAGAATGACACTTATCTGTGGGTATAAAATAAGGTATCAGAATGAAGTTTAAAATTACATTGGCTTGTAAAATGGTAGTAGTAGCCTTTCCTCTAAGGCTTATGATGTTACTATGCAGGTAGTGGGGTTATAATCCAGGCATGAATTCCTTCTATTAAGCAAGCTTTATGTCCAGTTAGACAGCTATTGGTTACCCCCAGGATATAAGCGCCACTATTGTACCATTGATATCTTCCTGGGCTTGTCACTGTTGTGATTTGTAGGTTTTACAGCTGGGTAAGCCTGTTGATTGCCAATAAAAATTAGTCTGTGCTAACTATAAATAATAATGGTTGGCCTAGATGTACATAATATATTTATTCATTTTCACCCTTCTGTGTCCTTTGGACATACACAGAGATGGCCTATGGCTTGAGCAGCAGTAACTAATTTCACACTGTAAGAAACTGGTGGCGTTGACACGGTTGCT